AGAATGGGAGCTGGGTTACCCTGGCCATTCAGAGCGCCCTGCGGGCAGGGCAGAGTCCTGGGGCCACTCCACAGGTCTCGGAGAAGGGGGCAGTGCTGGTGAGGGACCCGGCAGTTTACCTGGGGGTGCCCCCAACCCACTGACACTATCTCGAAGCCCCACGCAGAGCACAGAAGGTTTCAGAGCCATGCACCGCCCTTCCTGCTTAGCCATCATCCAGGCCAGCAGGAGAACCTGAGGCCAGTCCCGGCTGGCGGTGCCCAGCGAAACGCGAGGCAGAGTGGCGTCCAGGGTAAAGGGCTGGCCGTGGTGGGCACCCAAGTTTGAGAGCTTTGCCCTAAGAGCCTGGCTTTCAGCGGTGCTCCCATGGCATTCAGCTGCTCTCCGGGGCTCGGCACCTCTGAAAATTGGTCTTGGGTTCCTAGATTCATGGCTGAAAAGCTCCAGCCCCCCAATGTAGTGCTGCCTCAGTGAGCCTGCAGCTCCAAGAGCCGTGAGCTGGCCAGGAAAGCCCCCCTCTCCCGGAGGACCCGGGTGCTCTACCTTCGATGGGCGGTGAGGGCGAGCTGCAGAATTCCGGGAATTTCTCCCTCAGCATGGCACGGAGCTCCTTGTCCAGCTTGGGGTTGTCAAACAGAGGGGCCAGGGGTCTGCGTGGGGAGGAGGAAAGGGATGAGAAATGGCCAAGCTAAGATGCATTTCCCGACCCTGCCCATGCACCAAACCAGCTGGAACTGGGAGCCCAGAGCAGGAGCCCCCAGGCCCTGCGGCTGGTAGGCAGAGGCCCAGGCTCCCTTGCCCTGGAGGAAGGTCAGACTTTAGTGCAGAAGAAGGATCAATCGGCACTGGCACTTCCTGCCTGGCTGCTGGTCACCCAGCGTGCCTGGGGACACACTTCAGCTCTAACGTCCTGAGACCACTAGCTACCCCCCGGGCACGTGGGCCACGCCTCAGCAGAGTCATTGAGAGCTGGGCAGGGGGAAGAGAGAGACTCGACTGCCCAGCACGCAGGTCCTGGCCAGGGAAGAATCAGAAAACTTCTCCCGTGGGCATTTGCTGCTGGCGATCACCATCTGCTCCCAGGGTGGGGTGGGGTGGGGAGGGGGAAGAAGGAGACCACACCGGGGTAACTACTCCTGCGTTACTACCGCCCCACTGCCACAGATACCCCTGCTTTCGAGGGCAGGAGCTGAGAGCAAAGGGAACAGCCCGGGGTGTCTGGCTCCTGACAGCTCTGTGCTGATCTCTGGCCACTTGGTTCAGCCTTCTGGCTTGGGGGACTCTAGTTCCCAGCCCCAGGCCCTGGCCCAGACAGGGCTTCAGTACTGGCAGCATCCCAGGACTGCTTCTGCCCTGGACTCAATGGGTCCAGCCCAGCTCTGTCCCCAGGTTATGCCTCCCGCCCCCTGCAAGCTCCGGTGCCCCGATGGGCTTTTCTGTTCTAAACGGCGTTGCCCAAAGAGCTGCAGCGCCCAGCTGAGCCGGGCTGGATGAGGCATCTCTGGCAGGAGAGCTCTGTGGCACTAGTGGGTGTCGGGGGACAGCAGCATCCCCCTCCCCTCCCAGCAAGATCATTAGCAGCAGCCCATTCCCGGCCCTGCTGCCAATCCCTTGGCTGCACTGAGGGCAGCACGCCCACCCCCAACAGCGCCGCCCACCCCATCTCAGAGCCTTTCAGTCCCCCCGGTGACAATGCCTCATTAAGGGAACTAGTCAGGGGCCTGGGCTCCAGGTTCATCCCCCCCCCGGGGCTGGGTGTAGCCTCACTTCCAGGAGAGCGCTCTGCTGGGTGAGCTGCAGGCCTGGGATGTCCCCTTCCCGCCTAAGGATCCGGTGGGTCTGTAACTCCGCTCTGAGGCCAGGGGGACCCGGCTGTCGCTAACAGCTGGAGCGTTTGCAGGCTGGCAGCAGATGTGAGGCAAGCTAGGAAGGCACCTGCATGTGGGTTCGTCTGGCAGTGCAGTGACATGTGCCCGCAGGAGAGGGCGGGAGCCCATCTAACCCACCCCTGGCCTGAGCTGTGGCTCTCAGGACCCTCACTCCCGGGCAGGATAAATCCATGGCTGTGTCTTACGCCATGGGCCATAGCCCAAATCAGTCCCCCTGCTCTGTGAGGAGCCGTGAGAGGTTTGTCTTTGCTGGGCCAGAGACGGACGGAGCCTGGGCAGGGCAGGGGAGCGCAGCGCAGCGGTGTGATCGTATTGAACCGAATGCCTCCTTACGCCAGGACTCGCTTCTCCACGATGTGGGTGAGGGAATTGAACACGCCTTGCCGGACGTGAACCTCCAGCGGCGGGTAGAAGTTGGGAATGATCTGAAAGGGGGATGGAGAAAACAGAATTAGTGCAGCCCTCGGCCTGGCCCAGGTGTTTGGGAGGCCGGGAGGCTGCAGACCCGAGCCCGCCAGCCGAGGGGGTTTAGCAGCTTGTCACGAGGCCAGTTCACTGCCTGTCTGGAATCAAACTGCCCTGGCCACTTGAGCAGCAGATGAACACACCCCGCTGAACTGAGAGGGGGCAGCAGGAGAGGGTTTTACTCCCATCTCCCCTTCCCTCTCCCGTCCCAACGCCCACGCCAGGTTAGTAAAGAGGCAACCCCAAAGCCTAATCTATGGCCTGGCTTAAGGGCCTGGACAACGAGGGCAGCATTTGGCTGCACACCCTAACCCCGCGTAGGAGTTTGCCCCTCGCTGCTCTCGTCCGGTTTTACTGCAGAGCCGAGCGTTTCGAGGGTCGGCCCCTGGGGTCGGGAGCGAATTGGGAGTTTCAGGGCAGCAGGGACGAAGGGGGCTCTGTGAACAGGGAGCGGTGACGGTAGGCAAACACCCACATTTGCTGCGCTTGGCGAGTGCCCTTGTGGATCGCAGCCATGACAGCAGGCTGTGCTGGGGCTAACTGGGGACAGAGGGAGCATCAAACCCAACCATCCTGACTCGACCCACTAGAGCCCACTGCTGGGAACAATCGCCAGAGTGAGGCATTACCCTGAGCCTCTCAGGTACCAATTTCCCCCCCTTTCCTCCTGCCCTGGGGCTGGCAGCGTGATGAAAACAGCTGCTGTGTGGGTCCGGGCTGGCCCCTCCCTACGCCAGCTCCTTGGACTGAAAATACTGGGCGTGTGGAGACTCCATGTGCAAAGCCTGACTCACTGCTCTGTCCACGCGCTGCCTGCCCCACCAGTACCCAGCTGGGCGGTTCTGCTGCTCTTCCATGATCCCTTCTCTGGGGGATGGCGCTTCGGCCTCCTCCTATCCCTGACACCCCCCGGAGAGAGCCTGCACTCCCTAAGGAGGCGAGGCGAGGCGTGGGCGGTAAGGTTAATTACATGCAAAGGACAGGACAGCACAGACCAGCTCTCCAGCTGGATGACAGCTCCTGTAATTGCTGCCGGCCTCTGCTCTGGGGCTAAATGCAAACCCGGTGACCTGGGTGAAGATGCATTAGTGCCACTGAGTATCCCCGGGCAGCGATCAGCGGTGCCAAGGCACTGCCAGCTGCGGTCAGATCACACTGAGTGATGGGCCACAACGCAGATCTCTCAGAGGGAGCCCCTGGGAACCAGCGCAGCGTCTGGGTGACAGGCTGGGGGGACATCAGGGAATCCCCCCCGCCCCAGTGACCAGACAGAATGGCAGCTGTGCCCTCCACCCCTCTGCATCCTTCCCCCGCCGCTCTCCTTACTGTCCCTTCACACCTCTCCAGCTATCCCCGTGCTAAGATCAGCCTCCCGGCCCGTGGGCCGAGCACTAACCCCTGCCTTCACCCTTCCCCAGTGCCGCCCCTGTACGCCATCCTCAGGGGGCCCTCCCGGGTCTGAGCTGTCATCCCGCTTGGGGGCCTGAGTTTGCTTTAAGCTCTTGGGGGCAGGGACCTTCCTGATAGCCCCCCACTGAGCCGGGCTGGGGCTGGTTTCAGCAGGGCCGGGTGATGGCTCAGCCACACACCATCTGCTCGGCTGGTTTCCCCACTCAATGACATCGCTGTCAATGCAGCGAGGGTCCTCTCTGCCCCGTCAGTGGCTAGGAAAGGTCCCAGGGCGGGCAGGGGGTGGAACTGAGCCTGTCAGAAGAGCTGCCCCTTGCGAGCCCAGTCCCGCTGTACCAGCCGGGCAGTGCAGGGACCTGGGGCAGGGTGTCTCTGCAGCTTACCCGGCACATGAAGTCCAGCAGCGTGGCTGTGATGGCAGGGTGGGGCTTCATGGAGTGATTCATCACCAGAATGGCCGGCTCTGGAAGGCAGAGAGCAGAAGAGCCGGTCACCCTACACTCCACACTGCGCCAGCACCTCACGGGCCCCCGCTGAGAACGGCAGACGGGACTGAGTGAAACCTCCTCCACGCACCCAGGAGCAAAGGGGGCGTCTTGCCCTCACTCTACACACCCCAACCCCATTCGCACTTCCCACCTCCCTAGAGCGTGCGCTTCGGGTCCAAGCAGACCCGAACCAGACCCAGGTCAGAGCAGTGCCATCTGCTGTCAGTCCTGCCCTTGTGCCAGCGGATCCCAGCAGCCCCCCACCCTGGGGCTCGAGGGGAGGCTGTGTGATCACACTGCCTCCCTCCCTCCCCCGCGCTTTGGCCCGCACAGGCAGGGGCGTTCCGTGGCCAGCCACAGAGCCCAGGGGAGACGTCTGCTGCTGCAGGCACGGAAACCACAGCTCAAAGCGGCTCCATCAAAGCAGCTCTCGTGCCAGCTTGCAAAGCCCTGCAGGATTCAAACAGGGCCGGGGCGGGGGAGCGGGGCTGTTTGGAGACGAGTTATCAGGCTCTAGCTAGCGAACAGACCCCGTTATCACCGCCCGCTTTGGAACTCCTGTCCAAGCAGAGAGCTCCTGGCTTTGGCTCCGGCTCCAGGGGCCTGGACTCCGGAGAGGACTGGGCCGCACACTGCCAGGGGAAAGAGATACATCCAGCGCTCACCAGCCTCCCCGCTGCTTTGCGCAGAGCACAGGCCTGTGTCGAGACACGGGGCACGTGGGATGGGACCTGCCTGTCCCTCTAGGAACTGGACCGAGAACAAATGAACTCACTTCACGCAGGGGACAGCTGAGAGTCACTACTGAGCGAGAGGCGGAAGACTCCCTCTCCCAGGCCACCCCCGTGAGTGGCCAGACCCTGCCTGGCTCTGGGCTAGAGGCTCTGTGGAGTCAGGCAGCTGTGAAGATTTCAGTATTGGCTGGGAAAGCAGGAGAGTTGGGTGTTGGGGGGGATGCAGGGAAAGGGGCTGGTGCGTCTCCCCCGGAGGAGGGCGGGGAGGCGGCGAGCACACGGTACCTATGTTCATGATGTTGTCCTTCTCGGGGCTGAAGAAGAGCCAGTCGTAGAACAGGGCAAGCTTGGCATTAGAAGCAGCAACGTTGGACTAGGGGAAGAGAAGCCACGTGATCAGGACGGCAGCAGCCTTCCCCCAGCCCGCGCCCCCACGTGTCTTCTGCTGCCCCGGTTCTGCCAGGCCCTGCCCCTGCCTTGTTTTAAAAGAAGGAAGAGTGGCTGGAGCCGGAAGCTGGGAGACAGAGATCCAGCTTCCTCTTGGAAAATCCAGCCCATGTCTCTGTCACACACTCCCCCAGCGACTTGCCCAGACAAAGATGAGCACCCTGGGGGTGTTACCCCCTCGCCCCACACACTCACCGTGCAGGTGGTGAGCAGCCAGCCAATGATGGCCCAGCGAGGGAGGATGTCGGAGCTCAGCACCTCGTTGGACGGATGGACCACCCCACAGATGTAGCGGATGAGGTCGCAGCGCAGGGACTGGCTGTCTGGGGTGGACAGGTACTGCCGCTGGAACCAGTCCTGGTACCGCTTCTGCTGGCCAAACCGCACCTGGAGGGGGAGGAGAAACACACTGGTAGTGGCAGACACATGGAGTCTGGTTTAGAGACAAGAGTATCTGGGAGGACGGGCCTGGGACACGGAGCCTTCATTTCCGAGCTGCCGTGGTTCCAATCCAGCGGAGGCTGCAAGTGGCCAACAGTAGCCAAAGTGACTCTCCAGCACATCCCTGGGCAGCATCAGCAGAGGCCAAGGAGTGAAAGGGCCCCAGAGAACAAACTCCCGCCACCATCCCCTCTGCTTCACTAGCTGGATGGACAGAACCGAGCTTCCGGCCAGAGACGCCTTGCGCCCCAACAGCCCACGATGCACCCTCCGGGACCCAGGTCCAGCTCTCAGACCTTCGTTTCCTTCCCACGGCAAGCGGCCGCAGCACGAGGAGGAGACAAGCTTCGCTTGCAAGGGGAAACGAACCCTGCCTGGTGTTTGGCCACTGAGAAAGGCTGACCTTGGTGTCACTGTGGGGTTCCCATCCCCTCTGGGAAGGGGCTGCAGCTTGGCAGAGCTCAGCTCACCCACCACGCAGCAGCCATATAGAAAAAGCAACCCCCCAGAAACCAGCCAGCCCGCCGCAAAGCTCCCCTGCCAAGCCAACGTAATGCCTTTTAATGAGTGTCTCGGCACGCTTCGCTCAGCTCCGGCCGGCCACCCTTCCTTCCCTCCACTGGCGTACGGTGGCCAGAGTGGGGTTTAAAACATGAGCATTCGCCAGACTCCTGACTCCAGTTTCCATACACCGCCCCAGTGCAGAGATCTGCTACCCCAGCCACGCAGAAACCAGCAGCAGAGGCACGAGCTCTCCTCCCCCTGCCACCCAGCAGCACACCCTGACGCCGTGGGGCAAGAAGGTGATGCCTGGCCCATTCAAAGGCCACTAAACCAGACAGCCTAAGGAAACACTCAGCGGGAAGCCCTTCTACATCCGGGGCCAAATCCTATTCTTGGCCACACTAGTGTGAACCCAGAGCAACTCCAATGAAGTCATATGGAGTGACTCCAGATTGACACGGCTGTCAATGAGCAGATCAGCTGGTGCACCCGCTCTCCTCCTGCCACACCCCTCTCCTGCGGGACGCTGGAGTTGGCGGAAGACCCAGCTTTCCTGGAAAAACTGAAAGGCCCAGGCAAGAGGGCGCCGCTTCCCCCATTCTGCTGGCCCCAGTGCGCCCATGGCAACCAGCAGCTGCTGCTCAGTCACTGGGTCAAACCCAGACCAGGCCGGTGGCAGCCAATCTCCCGTGCTCAGGCCCGTTCAACCACCGCCCTGGCCCCCTTGTAGGGAGGAGAGTACCTGGGTCCCCGGCGGCGAGGCACTCTCCCAGCCCGAGGGTGGGCTATTCAAGCCAGGGCTGAGCCACCCCAAAGGACACCCTGGAGGGACCCTGCTCGTACGGGGCTGACTTTGGGGATTACCAGGGGCCTCTGCTTCCCCGAGCTGTCAGTCTGGCACCTTCCCCAGTGCTAAGGTCACACTTACCTGCCTGCACCTTCACCTGCAAAGAAACCAGCCTTCGCCCAGCCGGCTGCACCAGGAGGATGGATGGGGCAGGGTAGAAGCTCTCCAAGGGCCCCCACCCTCTAGAGCTCATGCACCCCCAATCCCAGTGTGACCGACAGTACCGATTCCCCTCTCCCCTGGCTGGGATCCCTCTGGAAGAGCAAAGCTGTTACCCGGGATGTCATGAAGAGCAGCTTGGTTTCCATGTCAGGGGTGAGACGACAGGCCAGGAACTTGCGAGAGGTCCTCAACTGAAGGAGCTGCAGGACACCTAGAAAGAGGAAAAGCCAAGAGGTCTGTACCTGCGCACCCCCAGCCAGACTCACCATGGCATCTGGGGAGAGCCGACCCCACTGTCCACACTGGCTCCTGGCCTCACAGCGGCTCCGAAAGTTCCGGTTAGACCAGGGCTTTGGGTATCGGCAAGGGGGGGGGGGGAGATTTCGCTGAGGCTCCTGCGCTAACCACTAGCTCTGGGGCCCATTCGCGCTGACCCTCTCCACCAAGGCTGCCAGCAAGAGACCAGTGTCAGCTGTGACACAGCCACCTGTCTGCCATGTGAGCCGCCAGCTTGTCTCAGCTGCCCACGAACCAGCAGGCCGACGGCAGCCTCTACTCCACTGCCAATCCCAGCCACCAGCATTCCTTTGGGCCCCCATGGCATGGCTGTCCAATGGCACTGGGGATGGGGGTCCTAGTCCTCAGGGCTAGATGGGAGAGGAACCCCCGGAAGGCGAGGGGAAAGCGCCACCGGAAGACAACGAGGGGGAGAGAGGTCTAGATGAACTAGGTCCCAGAGGCCGGAGCCAGGCGAGGTGCGAGAAAGGGAAGCTGGGATACCGGCAGAGGCAGCCTGTCGTTCCCTGGCAGGACTTGACTGATTTACAGATCTGCTCGCTCTGACGCAGGTGCAAGGGATCAGAGTTACGGACACCAGGTGCACTTTGGTCTGTTGGCATTGAAACCATTTCAATACACCCGAAACCCCGTCCTCACCTCCGGAGGGTGGGTGGAGAGGAGACAGGTTTCGCGGCTTACAAGCAGAGAGCCTGAATGCTGGCTCCCGGGAGCTCTGCATGGAGTGAGCCGCACATCAGGGAAAGGCAACCTCAAAGAAGCCTTGCTTAATAAATGCTCCCAGCACCCACCAGGTGCTCGGGAGGGAACAATCACAGCTCCCTGCGTCCCCAGCTCTCCTCTCTGCCAGCCCCAGCACTTTGCGACAGGCTCTCCTGGGCCTGCCCAGCCTGGTGAGGTTCACAGCACATGGGATTGAGTCAGGCTCAAACCCGAAAGCAGACGTGAATAGCCAGCGGCCAGAGGTAACTGCGGTCCTGCAGCGTGCTCAGGCCAGGCTCTCAGCAGTGCACGAGGGCAGAGAACAGCCGCACAAAACCAAACACCTCCACCGAGGCAAAGTGCAGCAGGAAGATTCTGGGGGGGAACGAGGACACACCGTATGGCCCTACAGCACGAGGCACCAGCTGTGTGGATGCTGGGGAGAGGAGACAGACGGGGACAGCTGCGGACCGATTTCCCCGGGTGAGGGGGAAGTTGCTGGGAAGCTGGAGTAGCGCCTGTGAAGTGCCCAGGGACGAACAGCTTCAGCGGGAGGTCGGGGTAAATTCTCAGCAAGTTTAGAGTGGCAGGAAGAAACAGGGCTGAGCACCTGGAGACCGAGGACCTCTCCCTACCCTAAGGATGGGCAGGGCTGCGCACACCAAAGCCTCCAGAACCGCGTCCCAGCCCCAACACCCAGGGACCCTCCTTCAGGGACGTGGAGAGCTCAGTTACGGGGCCCCTTCAGCCCTTGGCCTCTCCGCCAAGGCTGCCAATCATGGGGGTGGGCCTGGCAAAGGGGAAGGAGGCTGGGATCAGGAGGCTTAATGAGGTTTTGATTAGAAGATACATGTTGGGAGCTTGCCTGAGTGGAGCCAGAGTTCTTTAAAGTGCCATTAACACGGCCCCCCGGGACAAGGCATTGGGATAGTGGACTTTCAAGTCCTCCTTCGGAAAGCTCATTAGAACTGCTGCAGAACAGCTAACGAGGAGACGGCCTCCAGAGCAGGGAATAATTTATACTGAGAGATCTAAAATAAAACAAGCCTATTTTAATCAGGCCTGTGCGGCGAGCTCTGTAACGGAGTGTTCCTGCTCGTCAGGTGTGCCAGCACACTGGGGAAGGATAATCACAGCAGCATCTGCTGCCCTAGCTCGATAGTTCAAAGGTTCCCCAGCACTCTTTCCCGGGGAGTTTGCAGAACTCAGACGCTTTCCATCACTGGGAACCATCTTCAGCTTTGTTTTCAGCTCAGACAATTAAAAATATTCATTACAGTGAAGGAAGCTTTTAAGTCCAGAACATGTAATCAAACTGCACCATGTTTTCCTGGGGTCTGGCTGCCTTCTCCCTACTTGTAATGAAAGCTGGCTGAATTATTGATCATGCCATCTGGAAGGCTGAGAGCCCAGATGTGCACCAGGCCCTTGCGGTACGTAAGGAAATGGGGAAGCCACTTGGGGGACAGCCTGTGGCAGAAGACCCAGCCCAGCTCCTTAGCTGCCCATGGCCAAGGGGGCAGCAGGCAGGGCACATCTTACTGTGTTTAAGCGTGGGCCAAGAGTGGCTTTGGAGGGGAATCTGTCTCTGCTTAGAGCTGGACTCACAAATGCCCTTTTAGAGGTGTGTGCGCAGGGGAGCCCAGACGAACAGACCGGGATATCGGAGCTGAGAAGCAGCTAGCCGCTGGAACTCTGCTGAGGATTTAGGTCTGGCCCCAGGCGAGTCATGGAGCCCTGAGGACGAGGGCTCTGCTGGAGGGGAACAAGCTACTGCACTGGATTCTCCCCACACGCTCTGCCCACAGTCCAGCAGCGCAGACTAAGCGGTGCGGACAGTCCTCACTCACAACCACCTGGCCCTTGCGCTTGGCTGTGCCTAGCTATGAGGATGCAAAGGTGTGTGCGCACAGGCGCTGGGACACCACGCCTGGCTGACCGGAGAGCCCTGGCAGAGGCTCCGCAAGGTAACCTCCCCTCCGCCCCCGGTGCCCCACCTACCTGTGAACTGGGCGCTCAGCGCCTGCGGATTGTGGATAATGTCTTTCCAGAGCTGTTCAAACTCGGGTATCCTAGCAACGTTCTGCAAGAGTCTCACCAGGTCCCGGCCAATCATGAAGCAGTCCATGAACTTGGGGAAGGGAGAGGGGAGATCATGTATTGTTTCCCTGAGGAGGGGGCTGTGGGGAGGGGTGGGGGAGGGACCGGGAACATTCAGTTCTTGAACCTGAGAGCAGCTCTGGATGATTCACTCTCCTGCCCTGGCAGGCTGTTCTGCTTTTGAAGACAGCAGGTTCTAAAGAGGCTGGGTGACAGGCGGGAAGGTCAATGGCTATTTTAAAATGTTCTCTGGGGTAAAACAAACAACGGGGCCGTAAATCTAGCGCTTTATCTCCACAACTGGGGACAGGCCCTGAAGCTCAGCGCTTGATGCTTGAGCCGACATGCCCAGCTCAAGAGAAGGCGGGTGGGAGGTGGGGGGGGAGACAGATGTGGGGTGCAGGGGCTGACCCCTACCGGCTGCGGAGAGCCAACCCCCAGAGGCCTCCAGCCTCCTCTGCCAAACTGGGGGTTCTGTGGCTTCTAGCGCATGGGTGGAGATTGGCTGCCACGCTCCACTCAGCCAGCTGCACACCTGAGATGCTGGCATTTTGGGCGGCTGCAGCTGGCCAATCAGAAGGCATCGGTGCCGGTGATGAGCTTGGGCCTGGACACAGGACAGAGGCCCCACAGGAACTAGCCCCATCAAACCAGCTGTTCTCAGTGCCAGGGGGAAGAGAGCTGGGCTGAGAACACGCCAACCAATGGGCCAACTTCCAGCCAGGAATGCAGGGAGCAGAGCCCAGCGAGCCGCTGCGGGTGCCGCTGCCCGCACCCCAGACTGGCAGGGCTCAGGCTCCTGGCGGAGGAAGGACCACAACCAGGTGTCTGCTGGGACAAACAGGTCTATCCCCCGCCTCCACAGCTGCACCCAGACACTCCCGCTGCCAGCACCTCCTCACCCGTTCCCGGAGCAGGGAGATGCAGAAGTCCACCTCCTTCTGGCGCAGGGCCTGGAGCTGCGAGGTGCCGTGATGGTCCACGATGAGCCGCAGGTAGGTGTACACGGCCATGGCAATCAGGATACTGCTCTTCAGCACCCACTCTCTGGAAGCAAGCGAGGGACAGCGCCTTGAGCCAGCACCACCCTCCTGCAGCCGAGACCTGCCAAGCACTTTCCAGCCCAGAGGTGGGGAAACTGAGCCACGGGAAGAAGCAACTTCTCCCTGGTCCCAACTCAGCAGGTCCTGCCCCCAGCCCTGCTCTAAACACTGGATCACATGCTTTCCCGGAAGGGGTCAGGAGCAGGACGACACAGCTTACCCGGACTATGGCGAGAGCCACTCACCTCTCCCCTGAAGCCTGTTATCTGTCGAGGCCCCAGGCCCATCAAATCCAGCTTCTTGTATCTCCCAGCCCCCAGGTGGCACATGCTCATCCCGGCTCACCCCCGGGGGAAGCACTCGCCACACAGGGACACAGGCTTTTTCACCCAGCACGAGTGTGCAGGGTCCCCCACTCGGGGACTGCGTTACAAGTCCCAGGGCGTCTCTCCCCCTGCAGAAGAGCAGATGGCACCGCCCTATGCTCAGGGAGCCACAAGCTAGCGTTAGAACATCCTCCTCCCCCCGGCCCCAGCTCTGTGCCTCCCATGCTGGCCATTTGGTCTATGCCCTCATCCACCAAGTGCTGCGTCTCCAGCCCTGCCAGCGACCCCTCCCCTCTCTGCCAAGAGCCTGGCTTCTCCCATCTGCACTGCCAGCAGTCTGGGGCAGGCCGGGTTTCCCTGGGTGGACAGACAGTTCTGCATACATTTACAGGGCCAGCTGTGGCACCCCACAGGGTAACTGTGTATGCCGGTGACAAGGGGAATCAGCTGTTGGGGCAGAGAGAAGGTTTCAGCACCCGGCAGCCCTCATGGCACCAATAGCCTGGCCCCAGTGCACACAACACAGGGTAACTAGACGTAGGGAGATGTCCGATGCCCGGCATTAGAGGGCACGAGATGAGCTTTCATTCTTCCCAGCTCAGCCTGTCGGAGCAGATGGCTCCAGCAAACCTTGGGAGCACCCGGACCAGACAGTCACACACCACTGATGTTAACAGAGCATCCGCTTTCGAACAGCAGCTCCTCGCGTGATCAGGCTGTGCCGCCGCCCCGCTAGCATACTGCGCACATCATACAGTGCGCAATCTGGCGCTGCAGAAAGATGCTGAGCCCCGCGGCTATGGGACGAGCGGCCGCGCGGGAGCAGGCTGGGTGCGTACCCGTATTTTCAGTGAGCACAGCAAGAACGGCTCTGGCAGCCTTCAGTGGCACGCCAGCTAGCAAGCCAGGTGCTCCCCTCGCTCGGCGGAGCAGGAACGCCAGGAGAAGCAAAGGAAAAGGCAGAGTTTAGGAACGGGAGGGTGGACGGACTGAGACCGGCGTAACAGGCTGCCCACCAGGGAGATGCACGAGGTTATCGACTTGGCTCCTCAGCAGAGGGGCTGGGAGCAGCATCAGATGAGACACATGTGGGCAACACACTGGACCCAGCGCTGCAGGGACCAACCCTGCCTCGGAGAAGGGGGGAGGGGCTGGGAGACTAATCAGACCTTTTCCTCCAGTGCTAAGTCCTAAGCACCTGCCCCCCTCAACGCCCGGGTCGCTAACCCAGGCAACTGCCTCCAGCATCCGACAAGGATGGGCCCTCGCACGCTGCAGACAGTGACCCTCCTGGCCCATTACAGGACTGAAGCTGACTTCTCCCAGATGCATTAGAATCATAGAATATCAGGGTGGGAAGGGACCTCAGGAGGTATCTAGTCCAACCCCCTGCTCAAAGCAGGACCAATCCCCAACTGGCCCCCTCCAGGATTGAACTCAGACCCCTGGGTATAGCAGGCCAATGCCCAAACCACTGAGCTATCCCCCTCTGGAGCCAGGCCAGCAGGTGACTAGGTTTTGCTGCCCATCTAGCTAGTTACTTTGACCACCCTCCCCGTGCAGTGCCCGGGCCCTAACAGGCTCCAGAGGACAGGCACACAGGAGTTCTGGGACTGAGACCTTTGTCCCCTCACACGCTCTCACCTGCAATTCCGTACTGCTGCCATTTACCTAGGGTGACCTATTCCCTCCGGACCCCTGCAGCACCAGAACAGATTCCCTCTAGCTGAACACAATGACCAATACTGCCGGCCAGTAAATTACCCAGCCTTGCTATTTGCAGCCATGAACTGGGAATGGGCCAGACTAGCTCGGTGCCTTTAGTGTGATTGATAATCACCCCCATGGCTCGGCTCGGAGCTGTAAATCAGAGCTCTGCACAAGGGTCACTGCGTATGGTGCAGCTGTAACTCCAGGAGATAATGGCTCAATGGCAAACGAGTCAGCTGCCCTAAATCACCCGGGAGGGGGTGGGGGGGAGAGCCCACGAAGATGTGACACGTGTTTGCTTTCCCAGGCACTCTAGACTGCCCCTAACCCCTGCGCTAGCACGCAGCTTAACCAGGCAGTTGAGCTGTCTGGACTGGCAGCAAGAAGCGGGGGGGTTGAAGTTGCATCTGGGCAGTGCCTGGAATCCTTAAGGAATGAAGCCTGGTAGGCTGTCAGATCAGTTTCCTCCTCTCCCCGACCAAGGTGCGTACAAACATAAAACCATTCTCAGAAGGGGTCAAGAGGCCGCCTGCAGCCCCAGGATTAATGGATCCGGCAGGCAGAGCAAATGAGCTTTTTCGAAAACATTTAGAGGCAGTGTCATGTTCGCTTGGCCATTAGCGGCCAGTGGCTATATTATCCAGCCTAGCAGAGGTGGCGCGCTCGCCTCCTCTCCAAGGCAGCCGGAGCTCAGGGAGTGGCTCTGCTGTTGCTGTATTTAATTAAACCAAGCAGTCGACATTCTGAATGCAGAATTAGATTTTCTCATGTGCTGTTTAATTAAAGTCTTGGCTTCCCCCTAATCAAAGGATATAAATCCCAGCAAAGAGCTGCAGGTTCTCCCTGCAGGCGCATTCCCAGGGCTCGGCTCTGCTTGTGCTCAGGCATTCTCTGATCTGCTACAGACCGTGCTGTGGAAAATCGAGCAATGCCTCCAAACAGGGCTTAGCCTTTCCCCTCACATCGTTTCCCCGACAAGCTCCTATCCTCAGGGGAAATCTCCTGGGATTGAATGCGCTGGGCTGGCTTCTGCAGATCCCAGGCCAAATGTGGCTTTGAATCACATGGGAGAGAAGTTGCTTTTCCCCCTGCAAACATTTTCTAGTCATTTGTTCGCAAGCAAAACCAGAACATAATTTGGCAAGATGTGCAGGCTGCTTCAGAGGAGCCCCTGGAGCCGAGCAGCAGTGGTGCCGGGACAGGACCTGGCAGGGCCACGCTGGGGCCCAAGGATGGAACAGCGGGGATTGGGGGCAGGGGCAGGGCTGAGGTGCATCAGCTGAGCTGGCGAAGGGAAGCCCTAACAGTGCTGCCCGCTAACGGTTACATAAACACGCAGCCTAAGAACTCCCAATTGTTTTCTAGGCCATAGCAACAAGTCCCGGCCCCCTCTAGCAGTGCAGGTTCCCAGCGGATGCACTAGATGGCACTGCACGGCAGTGCGTAGGGAAAGGTCCCTTGCACGGTGGTACGCGGGAGCTGTGCTGTGATTGCTAAGCGCAGCAATCAGTGATTTTAGGAGAATTGCTGTTATTCTAAACAGCGAGTCGTGAAAATCAATCGTCTATTTAAAAGCGATGACGCCGCCCACCTGAGGGCTGCGCTACCAAGTCTGTTTATCATCAGTTAGCCCCCGCTTTACCAACAAAGGACAATGCCTCCCCACTGTCTGGCCACAGCAAATCACTGGTGGTTGCAGCCCCAGTGAAGCCGGGCGCTGTTGTTTAAGCACAGGAAGCTGACAAAGATCAGCTCTTGGGCAATGAATTCCAAACCACTCCTCTAAGAGGAACACCCTCCATCAGGACTTTGAAAAGTCAGGAGAAAAATATTCCTAGGAAACTGCCCCAGAGAGTCCTGGATGTTCTGTCCATGCCACAAGGTGACCAAGTCCCATTGTTTCAGGGGGAAGCTGGTCACATACGGGGGAAGCGTCATGGCAGCGCATTGCACAACTGGCTAGGAGCATTATGGGATATCAGCTTCCTGTGACCCGCCAGGCGCAGGTCACCAGGCTAGAAGAACTGATGGTCTGATCCCGCCTGGCTTCGCCAGCTGCATTACAAAATCCCCAAGAGGTTACAGCCAGTTGTGCCAAGCGGGACACCCGGGAGGCAGCCAACAACTGGTGCATGCTGCCGGCCCCAGGGCTTGGGAACGAGGATTTCATGCCACAGCTGAAGATGTGCTTACGGGCGTGCTGCAGCCGCACAGTGGATTTCATGACAGGAGAACGAGGTCCATGCCCTGCCGTGGACTCGAGGCGAAGCCACGTTCTGTATTGGCCAGATCCGGTCCCGAGGGGCGGGGCCAGTTACTTGCAACCCCAGTGCATCGCCCAGCTGACTGTCCACAAGCCAACCTATGTGAAAAGCTACCAACATGTCCCCACCCACCCCAAACACGCAAACCCCTCCCACACCCCTTGCCATGCCCAAGCAGGGAAGTCTCCATTAGCCCCTCGGATGGCCAAAGAGCCAGTTCTCCCCATCACCGGCCAGCCCGCTGCTCCCGCCAGTCAGGAAACATCTCCCAGCGACACCGCTGCCGCCCACTGCACCATACCTTTGCTCAGTCAGTATGTCAAGGACATTCTCTGCCAGCCAGATATTCTTCGCCGTCACATCCCCACCTGCAACCAAGAGCACAACATGGGAGCAAACAGCCACTTACGTTAATCGATGTAATTGTCTGTGGAGTCAGCTTTATCCCAACCAGCCACCGTCTCAGCCCCAGCCCCCGCGAAGCAGAGCGCTATAATTACAGTCTTTTTCTCCCCAGCTCAGTACAAGCCTCACATCTGGCCCATCCTGCCTGCCACAGAGGTACCTGGCTGCTTCCAAGCACGTGTTCAGCGTGTTCCCAGAAACAAGTATGGCGATTGCCATCATTTTCTGTTGTATCAAAAAAATGGAAGGGGTCTTTGTTGCTAGAGCGTGCTTCAGAATGGAACTGTCAGTTTCTGGAACACAGAGTCAATAGTGACCTTTCTGGCAAACAGAGCGAGAGCCAGAAAGGGAAGAGATTTGGTGTTTAGGGGAGAGGGGGAGTAAAAGCCAGACACTTTAGAGAGCGCCTGGGACAGGAAAGCAATCTGTCTGGTAGGAAAATGGGGAACACTGCTCCAGGCATTTCGGTATAAATGTAGCACTGTGAGTAGAGCAGGCAACTAGGACTCCTGGGTTCTAGTCCCAGGTCTGCCACTGAGTCACATCATGAGCTTGGGCAAGTCACTTCTCTCTGGGCCAGACAATCTGCAAAGCTTAGCGGATGTCTGCAAAGCGCTCCGAGATCTTCAGCTAAAGGCCTGATGGGAGTGCAAAGTCTTATCGTGGATTCATAGATTCCAAAACCAGACGGGATCATTGTGATCATGTCGTCTGACCTGGATAACACGGGCCAGAGAGCTTCCCAAAATAATACCTAGAGCAGAACTTTTAGAAAAACATCCAATCTTGATTTAAAATTGCCAGTGATGGAGAATCCACCACACCCCTTGGTAAATTGCAAATGGTTAATTACCCTCACTGTGGAAAATGTATGCTTTATTTCCAGTCTGCATTTGTCTAGCTTCAGTTACCAGCCATTAGATCATGTTATGTTTTTCTCCGCTAGACTGAAGAGGCCCTTATTACATGTGTTCCCCATGTAGGTACTTACAGACTAATGAAGGCACCCCTTAACCTTCACTTTGTTAATCTAAATAGATTGAGCTCTTTGAGTCTTTCACTACGAGGCAGGTTTTCGAATCCTTTTCTCATTCTCGGGGCTCTTCTCTGAACCCTCTCCAATTTATCAACGCTCTTCTGGAATCGTGGACACAGGATCCCAGCGACAGTCACGCCAGTGCCAGATCCAGAGCTAAACTAACCTCGCGGCTCCTACTCAAGATTCCCCTGTTTATGCAGCCCAGGACGGCATGTGCTCTTTTGGCCACAGTGTTGCACTGGGAGTTCAGGTTCAGCTGACTGTCCACTACGACGCCCAAATCTCTCTCAGTCGCTGCCTCCCTGGAGAGAGAGCCTGGCCTACATTCTTTATTCCTAGACATATACTTTTATATTTAGCCATCCTAAGCTGGCCAGTCCAGATCGCTGTGAATCAGTGACCTGTCCTCTGCATTATTTATCGCTCCCCCAATTGGTGTGTCATCAGCAAACTTTCTCAGTGATCAGTTTATGTTTTCTTCCAAGTCATTGATAATGTTAAATAGCGTCAGGCCAAGAACTGACCCCTGCAAGACCCCACTGGAAACACACCCGCTCAATGACAATTACATTCAGAGATCTGAATGCAGTGTTGTTGTAGCCTGTCAGTCCCAGGATATGAGAGAGACAAGGCGGGTGAGGTAATATCTTTTACTGAACCAACTTCTATTGGTGAGAGAGAAAAGCTTTCAAGCTACACCGAACTCTTCTTCAGGTCTGGGAAAGGCACTAAGTGTCACAGCGAAATACAAGGTAAACAGCTAGCACATACTGGTCCCTTAGCACATGAGCTAACCTCGCTCTTTGATTTTGTATTTAGCTGTGACACTCTTAGAACGTTTCCCAGACCTGAAGAGCTCCGTGCAGCTCGACAGCTTCTCTCTCTCAGTTAGTCCAATAAAAGATATCGCCTCACCCACCTTGTCATTCCAAAAGCTAATCCTTAGCCAGCGTTCAATACCTTTAATGCGTGCTATGTTAATTGTACATCGTTCTCCGTCTTCATTGACTGAATCCCGTATTAGCTGCTCTGAGATCAAGGTAAAGCTGTTAAGCCTATAATCACCTGGATTATCCCATTTACCCTCTTTAAAAACTTGGCACAACATTTGCTTTCTTCCAGTCTTCTGGAACTTCCCCAGTGCTCCAAGACGAATTAAAAATTAATGTTAACAGTCCAGAAAGCTCCTAAGCCTGCTCTTTTCAAACTCTTGGATACAAGTTATTTGGATTTGCTGATTTAGAAATGTCTACCTTTAGTAGCGTCTGTATACCATCTCCAGAGATATTAGTGGAATGGAAAGTGTTATCATTACCATATGATGAGACTCTCACCTGTTTTCCCCCCAAACTCAGAACAGAAATTTTTATTGAACACATCTACCTTTTCTGCATTATTATTGATAATTCTAACATTTCCATCTAGTAATGGAGCAATACCATTGTCGGGATTCTATTTGTCCCGAATATATTTCAAAAACACCTTATTGTCCCTAACTCTGGGGACACAGATTTCTCCTTGTGTCCCTTTGCTTCCCTTATCAATTTTCCACAATTCCTGAGTGAAAGTCCCTACTATCAACTTCCCATTTCTTACAGATGCCTTTACTTCCCCTCTAAACGAGGTCACCAACATGAAGCTGGAGCACTTTGCTAACGGTGCTAGAAGCTCAGAGCTGTACTCAGACGTTTGGAAATACAGACACGCATATGAGGCACATTGCAAGCAATTGCAATATGATCATAACAATTAAGGCATCATAAAAATAGCAAAATGCAGGACAGCAGCGTCATTAGAGTAGAATTGGGCCCCGCACAGGGAAACAGGGACATCACCACCAATGGTTTTTTAAGCTATTCCATGTTTATCACATCGTGCACATCGGGGGAGGGAGCAAGACCGGGGAGGCTGGTTCGTTCTCAGCACTTGGCCCTCTGAACCCAGCCTTGCCCACCCTGTCCCTGCAGCCGAGGGGCTGGTTTCCATTTCCAACTGGGCCAACCCACGTCACAGATGTAACCAATAAAAATGAAATGTCAAGTTTTATTATGCGACGCAAATTCCTCCTCCCTGGACGTAGGTGCCTAGCACTGACGTGCAGAGAGATGGCTCTGTGGACCTGGAATGGCACAGAGGGGGCCACGTGGCCAGGCCCTGGCCCTGCCCATCTGGAGGGCATTACAGGCCCTGCATGGGAGAGTCCTGGCTCACAGGACGCGAGCGCCTCCCTTGGCTGCCCGGATGTCAGAGATGGGGCAGGGCTGGGCTCAGTGGTTCTACTGGGCTGGGCCACAGGGACTGAGCTGCTGACAAGCTGAGAAACCCACACGCCCGCTGGCTGTTCCCGATGCTTTATTGGCACTAGCTGCCTAACCTCACCCTGCTTCTCGCCGGCCCAGCCCGGGATTAACCCCTCACAGGGAGGACGCTGGGGCTATCGCAGATTCCCAGGCCTCGGCAGCAGCCCCACTAGCCCCTCCATGCTCAAGCCAGTCCCTGACAGGCAGGTTTAGCCGGCTCTTGGAAATGCACCACTGCTGCAAAGCGAGGCTCTGAGAGGTGGGCGTGAGCTGCTTCCACTGCAAGCCCAGACCCAGCCCAGCTCGGGCAAGGTGTCACGCCAGATTCAGACCTGGACCCCAAGCCAGGCCGCGCACGGTGTTCCAGCTGCCCTGGGCTGGGCCTCCTGCTGCTGCAGCCATTGCTGGGCAGGGCCCTGGGGCAGTGCAGCGCCACGCGACAGGGGCCAGTCCCTGCTGCTGCCCAAGGCAGTACTCACCTGCAATCTGCTTCATGAAGGTCATGCAGACGCCATCTGCCCCGAGCACCCCGCTCTTCACCAGCTCCCGCAGCAGCCACACCAGCTAGAGACAGAGACGAGCAGAGCCAGCATGAGACGGGGAATTTGGTGCTGCTTCAAGCGCGTATTTCAGCACAGCCTTGGCCACGGAGCCACGACTACACCTCCGCAGCACAAGACAGACACCCACAGCCCCAAGGTCACATCTCAGAGGGTGTTAGCAGCCAGTCGGGGGTCGGGGGGGGGGAAACACCCATCCAACATTGCTATCTCCTCCACATCCCTTTCTGCTTATGCTTCCAATCCCATCACCAAACCCCAAGATGCTGAGTCCCCTCAGGGCCTGCAGTCCCCTTTCCGCTCTCACCAGGGCCGATATCGGGTTCCCCTCTCACCTGAGTCCGACAGGCATCCTGCAGCTTCAAGTACTTTTCCATGAGAATCTGGTTGATCTTGTTTAGAACAATGTTCATGCCATCTCGGCTCACCAACGCCAGGTCCCGGTAACACTGCAGCAGAGATGGGTACAGGTACAGCATCATTGATTTATAAAGCCCCTGAGCCTGCCTGAGGGTTTGGGACACTAAATAAACTAGCACTCGAATCGGCACGTAAAGCAGGAGCATCCCCGGGGATCCAGACAGAGGGAATAGCCCAGGTTCCGCAGGAGAGCCAAGCTCTCTTCCTCTCAGACTTGGCCTAGCCACTGTCACACCAAGCTAGAGTAAATTCCACCTGAGTCCCCTCTCAGCCTCCGTGCTCACGCCTTTAATCCCTGGTTCATGGGCTAGCCCAGTTCTCCTGCACTCAGAACTCCCCCGCAAGGCAAGGCTGGTTCGAAACGGTGCTGAAAGTTGCTGGATGGACGGAGCTGGGGCCCAAAGCATCCCCCACCCACGCTTCTTGTCCCCCACGTTCCAGCATTGGTCTCTGCAGGGCAGGGCAGGGCAGGGCAGAAGTGAAACAGGAGTTCAGTCCTCAGCCTCTCCGTTTGTGGGGCAGAGGGCAGCGCGTGTGAAGGTCTGGCCTTGTTAAAAAAAAACAGCACACATCCCGATCTCCAAAGGCCACACACACACACCCCACTCCTGGGTCTCAGACACCAGCCACAGCTGATGCCGCACCAAAAAGACCCACATCAGTCAGGGTAACTAAATTAAAGCACAACGGGGCTCTGGCTAACCAGTGGTGCCTGGAGATGCAGCAGCAAAACCGGCTACTCCCATGCCACCTTCTCCTTCCCACAGCTCTGCTAGCCAGGGATGGCTTCCCACTCATCAAGCATTAGCCCAACTTCAGTTTACAGACCACCAGTACCACTGAAATCCAGACCCCCTCCTCACCCAGGGCAGACCCTGGAGACAGCCAACTCTAGGCCTCACATTCTCAGCAAAGGAAGGACCTTCTCCACAGCAAGCGGCCAAGGTGTAACCAGAGAGCAGGGCTGGCGGCTCTGCCCGGCTTCCTCTTGCCCCCTCTCCCTGGGTCGGCGTGGTGGGGGATGGGGATGATTAGGAAGCAATTTGCTAAGTCATTCCACATGAATGTTAATTTGTGCTGTTAAATGTCATGCTATTGCGGAGAGCAGGGCTGTGGGTTCAGCATTCTGCTCTGGAGAGTTAATGAGGCCTGGAAAGCGCTCTTTGATTAGACTCCCCACGCTCAGGCAGCACCTGAAGGGATAAAACACTCACGCAACAGGCGGCGGTTTCGTGTGGCTTTTTATCAATCTGAAATGCTAAAGGAGCTTCCGCAAACGGGAGCCAGGGCCCAGCCCGCCGAGCCGCCTGCTGGCTCCCCAGGGAACGCTGGCCTTTAACGCCAACCTCAGGCAGCTGCCTGGCCAGCCTCAATGTAACACACACCACTGCAACTCCTGCAAGTCGCAGAGCTGGAAGGGGCTGATGGGATCCGCTGGTCCAGGACTACACCACGTGCTAAGCTCCCTACTGCTCTGTCCAGTCTGCTACCTCTTCCCACAGGACAGCAGATCTTGCCTCTTCCTGTCCTTAATTACAGCCCATGACACTCTGCTACTAGTCCCCTGAAGGCCTTAAGGGACCCCCAGCATTTCCCCTTGCAGCCAATTATGTCCCCGTGTCCTCACTAGTGCTCGCGAGATCCATGTCTGGCCTTCAGTATCTTTCCCTGAACGCAGCATTGTTGCAGCCACGTGGGTCTCAGGATATCACCCCACCCGCCTTGTCTCTCTAGTATCTTTCCTTCTCAGTCAGTAACGTCTACTGCTTTTCTCAGCCTCCTCTCCTGTGCCGATATCCTCCTGCTGCTGTGAGCTTCCCCTCCCTGCACCCAGAGGTGAGGCCTGTCTGCAGTTAACCCCGGGCACGCTGACTTAGTGACCCAAGGAAGCTGCATGGTCAAGCCAACCCCTACCATGATACCCCAGGACAGTGGAGTTCAAAGAACTGCTCTGAAAGAGAAACTTGCTGAGGTTCCAGGACTCGAACCTGCTGGCTTCAAATAGCTACGGCTCCCTGTGACAGCTACCTTGTGGCCATGCTCCATGGGGGTAACACACCTGAAGCTGCGCAGTGCAAGCCCAGCGGGAGCCTTCGCTCGGACTGTGACGCGACACCCACGGAGCCCAACCCAAGAGCCCCGACCGGTTCCTGACTCTCGGAAAACGGGAGGCCCAAGCTTGGAGGAGGACACACCGTGTGACGGGTGCCTGTTTCTAAAAGGCCCCAGAGGAGGGGGAAGCAGCCAGAACAGGGACTCCGAGGTGCTGCCTGAGAGCTGGGTATTTTGGTACCATGCGGAAGGATGCAGCCGGTTCACCCAACAGGTCCTGCTGTATTTCAGCTTCTCACCCCACATGGGTCCCAAAGGGTTGGGGAAATGTTTAAGAGCAGGTCTGGAACTGGGACGGTCACTCAGCCCCTGGAGTTCCACACAGCACCCACAGAGACCCAAGCAGATGAGATGGGACTCCTTGTTAATCCCGCTGGACCATGGGACGGGGAGCAAAGGGTGGGCGGCGCGAGGAGAAGCAGCTACCCTGCTCGGATGGCGAGGGGGAGGGAGGGGAACCTGAATCGCCAGATTAGTTTCAAGGATGCAAGTGCTCCATCATCTCGTCCCTGCTCTCGGCGGGTCAGAGCCACCCCTCAGACAGGCCATTTAATTAATAGGAAGGGAACAGCCTGATGGATGTGCAGTTTAAATAGATAAATCAGGCCATGCAGCAGGAGGCGGGGGAGCGTGATGCAGACCCC